GGCCCGCCCCGGCCCGCCTCGCCCCGCCCCGCCTAGCCTCGCCGGCTCCGCTCCGCCCCGCCCCGGCCCCGCCCCGCTGGCTTCCCGGCGCCCTGCCATTGGCCGAAGCGCCCTCACGTGCCCTAACGCGCTCCGCCGCGGCCCCGCCCCTGCGCGCGGCCCCGGGCCCACCTCCCTCCCACGCAGAGCTCCGGCTCCCCGGGCCTCCTCAGCGGTCCCGGGGCGCGGCGGCGAGGGGCCGACCGGGAGAGCCGAGCTCAGTCTCGGAAGGCGGCGTGGGGTTGCAATGACGGCTGCTTGCCGGCACACGCGGCGCAGGTGCGGGACGGAGAGAGCAGGAGACAAGTCAGGCGTGGAAAAGGCACGTCTGAAACGGATAGCAACAACTTCTACAGCTGGCGGGACGTGGGCCCAGCGCGACCCGCAGCCTCCCGGCCTCGCCCCCTCGCCGGCGGCGCTCGCCAGGCTCAAAGGCGACCGCGCGCCGGCGCACAGTACCGGCTGAGGGGGGCCGGGGCCGCGCGAGCGGCGGTTTCGCTGGGCCGCACTGGGCCCCGCCCCCGGAGCCCAGGCCCGCCCCGGCCGGGGGCCCCGCCCCCGGGGTCCCCGCATTTGGCCCTGCCCCCGAGGCCCCGCCCCGCGGGTCGCGCTGCAGCTGCGCCAATGGGATTTTATTTTATTCTTCAATTTGGCTTGATCATAAACCACGTGAGGAAACCTCTGCATTGTGACCAGGGGGTCACGTGATTTATTTCACCTCGCTAACAGCTCAGGGAAAATGAGTTTTCCAAAGGAAGAAGGGTAACTTTTTGATCTGCTACTTCCGCAGTCTGTCTGATGGCAGAAACTATGGGAGACCATTAATGACGGGCATGGCGACTGCAGAAATGCGTTAGGTGATAAGACTCGAGGAGTGGACGGGTTTCACGTGTGACAAGCGTTGGTGCCTCACCCGTGATGATGGAGGGGCTGGATCTTAAGCGGGCACTTAGAAATCATTGCCTTCTCTTGGGCACCCGGTTTTCGCTCTTGAAAGTTGCGAGGCAAAGCATTTTGGGTTATTCTGTTCTGCTCTGCGACGGGAAAGCTAAAAGAAGAAGAAGAAAAGATCTAAAGTGAGGATTGCCGTGGGAGGTCCTGAAAGTTCTGCCTGCAGGTGTCTGCATGCACGCCTTCAGGCGAGTATCAGCAGGTAAACTGCACGGCCTCCAACAGCTATTTGTGCAGAAGAAACGGTTTTAAGTGGGTTAATAGTTTATACGAAACAAATAGTTAAGAAAAAGGGGGGGTGAAAATGCCCTCCCCCCATTAATTACGTTTCATTTTTAAAATAAAATATATGCTATCAATTTAACAAACCCAGTATACATCCATATCAAAAAGGAGTCGTTCTGGAACTGTGACTTTATGACCATGAAGCTCTAAAGGGATAGAGGGACTTTTCTAAGACAAGTCTATGCCGCTGATACCCTTGTTACATAGACCCTGATGCAGTGTTGTTGCAGATCATTCATTCAACGGACTTTTGTCTGATGCCCACTGTGTGCAAGGCACAGGGCAAGGGATTCCACTGTGGACAAGGCACTGCCTTTGTCCACTAACACCACACATCCTTGAGGTGGAAACAGAAGAAAGCCAGCAATCAGAAGGATATGACATTCAACAAGTCCATGGGGACTGGGATGAGAGTGTCTGGCTCAGAAGCGCACAAGAGCCCTACACAGGAGTGTTTTGCTATGGCTAGAGATGAGAGCAAAGGGTCAGAGGCTCCCGACTCAGACTCTGGCTGGCCTTGCCAAGGAATTGACTTCTTTTTGAATGTGATTTGGGGTCCCTGAAGGATATTAAACTGGGGAGAGACATACATGTGCACGTGGAAGACATCTGTGGCAGGAATGTTGGGGATGGGGTAAAAGCAGGAGGTCAGGCGAGCAACGGGGATGGAGTTGTGGTCCAGGTGTGTGCCAGTGAGGTGTCTCTATGGCAGCAATAGGAGGAAGGGTCACAAATACCCAGGAGGTAGACTTGCTCAGTCGAATTGCTTAGTCTAAAGGCTAATGCCAATGTGTGTAGCTCAGGGAACACAGTGACACCTACCCTCCTCCCCTTTCCTCACCTCATTTCCACTGAAATGTCATTAACTAATTTCTTACCGAAGTTGGATCTATTTATTCATGCACTACACGTTTGCCTGCAGATTTGGCGTGGAGGCGTAGAGAGTAAATTTAAGTCAGCTTACATTGAAATGAAATACCCGTGTAGAGTGCTGACCACAGCAGCAAGTTTACCTGCCACCAAGTGGACAATGGTTTGATGAGTGGTGCTATTCAGTTCCAAGGACCCAAGGACACTCTCGAAATCACCACCTCAAGGCCCACGGGCCCACGGGCGCCCAGAGAGCTCTGTTAGATGAAGAAAAACCTCTTGCTTGGCTCTTGAAGAAGAGCTTTGACAAATGCCATGAGCCAGTCGATCCCACTAGCTAGGACTAAACCCCTCCCAGTCCTTCGGCACCATGTCTGGAGTCCTTCCCCTAAGAAACTAAAAGGTGAGCAATCTAGGAAGGTTCTGAAAACTGAAAGTTTCATAGGTTCTAAAATAATCTATGGAAGTCCTAAAAAATGTTCTAAATATTTCAATATATTTCATATCCAAGTATTAAAGGAAAAAGGAAACAACCCAAAATATAATTTCATTTTCATGTAAATGGGGGTGAAATACAGTCCCTTTCTTTTTCCCTCCCCAAAGCCCAAGTCCAATGGAAGCAAAAAGGACGGAAATAACCCAAGGTGGAGAGAGAAGAATACCCTAAGAGCATTAGAGATGCTGGATTAGGAGGTTTTGGAGCGAGGAGGGCATGTTCAGAGGCTGGCAGGCAGCAGGAAGCCTGCTGTAAGGCAAGTTGTTGCTAAGTGGGCACAGTGTGCTCAAGTGTCCAGTTTGAGTTCTTGTCCTAGGTTTTGGGTTATTGGTTCGAACAGGCAGGAAACAGATGGCTCAGCCAAGAAGGTCTAAGTGGAAATAAATTAATGAAAGATCTCTGTATAGAGGCATGCAGGTCTCAAGCAAATGGGAGACAGCAAAGCATGCTGGGGCTGACAGTCTGGGAGCTGTCTCCATTCCCACGCCTCACTCAAACCCTCTAAACCGATGGTTCTTAAATAGGGGTGATTTTGTTCCCCAGGAGACAGCTGGCAATGTTTAGACATATTTTTGGTTGTCACAGCTGGGTGGAGGGGTGCTTCTAGCCTCTAGTGGTTAGAAGCCAGGGATGCTGCGAAACATCTTATAGTGCACAGGGAAGCCCTCACAACAAAATCCTCCCGCCCCAAATGTCAACAGTGCCAAGGTGGAGAAACCCTGGTCGAAACCCACGTAAAACGGATATGATACAATCCACCCTTTCCCCTTTGTGGTTACTGTGAGTGCCTCAGAAGGTAATGGGTGTGAAAGCCAGAACTGTGTTTCGTTTAAGAAGAAATTGTCCTTCTGGATGGAACTCTACAATTTGCTGAATGCAACACACACACACACACACCCATCATCTTTCTGTCCTTCACAGAAAACCTGGAGAAAAAGAAAAGCTCAGCTGTGTCTTAGAAAGTTGAGAGGGGCACTTGGGTGGCTCAGTCGGTTAAGCATTCTGCCTTCAGCTCAGGTCATGATCCCAGGGTTCTAGGATCGAGTCCCGCATCGCACTCCCTGCTCAGCGGGGAGTCTGCTCCCTCTTCTTCTGCTCCTCCCCCTGCTTGCATGCACTCTTTCTCTCAAATAAATAAATTAAATTAAATAAAAAAAGATGAGAGCAACAGTCTGCTGTCATGAGCAGAATTCCAGGTAATGACCCTATCCTGGGACAACAGCGTGAACCGCCATTGGTGTTAGAGCTGAACGGTGGTTAAGACAACCTTTCCAAAAGTAATTCTGAATTGTGGTAAAGTACACATAATTTAAAATGTACCATGTGAACATTAAAATGTACAGTTCAGGGCTGTTAAGTATATTCACATAGTCACATCCAATTTTTTTTTTCATCTTGCAAAACTGAAACAACCCCTCATTTCCGGCTTCACCCAGCCCTGGAACCCACCCTTCTACTTTCCGACTCTATGGATGTGACAACTCTAAGTACCTCGTATAAGTGGAATCATACAGTATTTGTCCTTCTGCGTCTGGCTTATATCACTCGGCATAATATCCTCAAGGTTCATCCACATTGTAGCATGTGATAGAATTTCTTCCTTTTTAAGGCTGAATAATATTGCATCGTGTGGATAGACTACATTTTTATTTATCCCTCATCCTTTGATGAACATTTGGGTTGCTTCCACGTCTTCACTGTTGTGGATAATGTTGCTGTTGCTGTGAACATGGGTTTGCAAATATCTCTTTGAGATCCTGCTTTCAGTTCATTGGTATACAGCGAGAAGCAGTTGCTGGGTCAT